CAGGCAGGTACTAGATTGTGGGCAGCCCATTAAAAATGCAGAAATAGCATGAGAGTCTATAATTGAACCATTAACAATTGGGCTTCACGGATTCAGGCTATAGGCTTTCCAGGTGAAACAGGGTCACAAGTAACAGGTAAAAATAAGAGAGATACATCCTCTTATTAAAGAAGAGCCAGGCTCCCGTTACTGAAGCTCAACTAAGCTTCACTGTGATTACATTGGCTTTAGAGAGTTTTTCCTTCCAAAATACAGTGATGTGAAATTAGCAACTGTGAAATGTCTCCATCTCCTGTTTTGGTTACACTGCATGCCCTGCCGACCTCTCTGGGCATGCTTTCTCTTTCTTGTCTTTGACATCAAGTTCTTCTGGCCCTGATCTCTGGTTCTGTCTTGTGGCCTCAGTGAATACACTTAGCCCTCAGTTTCTTATTCTTTCTCTAAAGGTTCCAAAATAATACCCTTGGTGGGACCTGCCACTTGATGTTTGGTGCTGTGCCCAACAGAAGAAGTCTGTGATGTAGACTCTATTTTTATTCCTATTTTATAGATGAGGATATTGGAATCCAGAGAATTGAATGACTTTCCCAGGTCACTCAATTAATAAGTGGCAGAGCAGAAATGTGAACCTACTCATGTTCAAACCAAAGCCAAAATTCCTGCCACTAAGCTATTCTTCCTTCACATCTATGCTCTACACACCAGTCCCATACTGTCCGTTAACTCCTGGACATCTCTATAAAGATGTTCCTAGCAGCCTCCAACTCAACACACTCAAGCCTGACTAGACATCTTTCCCAACCATTCCCCTTTCCTGACTGGTCCAATTCATCTCCATCCTCCAGGCTAGCCAATTTTGAATCATCTAGACACTGAATGTTGGCTCTTTCTTCCTTCAAGTCATCTCTTCCATTTTTTCTCTCCATTGCTACTGTGTTGCTCTAACTCTTGCCCTCATCTCTTGACCCAGGGGCAATGGCAACAGCTCCCACACTGGTGGCACGGTCTCCTGGTGAGTAAAGTGGCAGGGAGGAGAATCGGTGTTTGAACAGAGGGGCTGGAGTTCAATGTCACTTCTGTCAATTTCAAGTTAGGGGCTCTAGGCCAAGTTCTCACATCTGTACGGAGGATGTAAAAGCAGCAATTCCATGGGGAGGTTGTGAAGATTAGAAATAATGTATGTTAAAGCATACATTGAGATGCACACAAAGAAGAAAGTTCTATGAAATAGGCTCTCCAAAAATAGTGGTAGCCATTATTTTAACTATTAACTCTAGTCTCTCCCTACTCCAGTCAAGGACCCTAGATGAATTCTCCCAAAGATTATTTTTATCCAGCCCATTTCTCTGCTCAAGAACCAACAATGGCTCCCTGTTCCCTGTCACATCAATCTAAAATCCCTCCTGGTTTTCAGATGCTATCTCCATCCTATTTGCCCATGTTCCCATCTTTTTACTTAGCATTCTCCTCTCTTCCTGCCTCCCCTGACTCAGAAAGGTAGAGTCAGTCTGACCTGGGAGGTCAGACCCTGGCCTGTGCAGGGAGCATGGAACGTGCAGGCTAATCCCTGAGGTGAAGCTAAATTAGCCCTGGGAACTGCAGAGCTCCTCACTGGGAGTAAGGAGACAGACTGTACCCATATTGCACAACAGCATTGCCAACGTGAAAGGGCTGTGCAGAAACAGGATGCAAGGTGCAAAGAAGAGGGATGCAAAGGGGTAGCCAGACCTCAAGGGCTAGAACTTACAGGCAGCCATGAGAATATTCTATTAGCTTCAGCCATGGGAAGAGAGGGAGTTGAAAGGGCATTGAGCTGTTCTGGTCACCTGCCATTCTAGGTCACAGGCCCTGCTTGCTTCTGTTATAATTGTGTTTGTGGGAGTGAATGTGTGTGCATGCTCACCCTGTCCCAAGTGGCAAGGTAACAGACCTTACTGGTAGAGAGGAGGGGCTCTGGAACTATGCTGCTGGGGCCTGAGCCTCAGCTTTGCCGCCTACTAGCTATATGACCAGAGCAAAGGACATCCTCATGTGTCCCAGTCCCCTCACCCATGAGATGCAGATGATAATGGCACCAATAATAGCCTCCCCTCAGCATGTTGCTATGAGGATGAACAGCATGAACGAACCCAGGGCTGACGGTACCATAAGTAGCATGTAAGCATCAGTCACTGGTCATTGCTGTAGCATCAGCTAAATGCTAACTATTACTGTTACACAATTGTCTCACTTAACCCTCATCAAGACCCTAAAAGGTAGATTATCATCCCTATTTTGCAGATGACAAAATCAAAATTATATGGAGGCTCAGGAGGTAAAGCACTGCACCTGAGGCCACATGGCTAAGAAGAGATACACCTTTGTAGCCAGTTAGACATTCTCTCATGAGACATACCCTCCTGGGACATTCCCAACCAGATACACCCATCCTTCAAGGTCCAGCTCAGCTAAGCCCCTAGGGAAAGAAGAGGCAGCATCATGGACTGGCTGGGGCATGGAGTCAGGACCCAGACTTCCTGGATTCAATTCTCATTTTTATTCCCTTCCTTATTCATTGTATGACCTTGGGCAAGTCACTTTCCTCTTTGTGCTTCAGTTCCCTATCAGTAAAATGGGGACAGTACCACCTGCCTTCTAGTTGCCAAGGAGATTAAATGAGTCAGCATGTGTGGCCTGTGACAGCAGCACCTGGCACACGGTGAGCTCTATGTGAGCACTGGGTGCCTTAAAAACACCAACTGAGTACCTATTAAAGTCTGTGCTCTCTTTAGAGGGACTCTTTCACTATCTATTTTGTTTTCCTTTCCTTTCCTTTTTCTTTTTTCCTTATTTCAGGCTCTTCATTATGGATGCATCTGGGCATCTTTGCAAGGCCTATTTTCATATAATTTCTGGAGGCGGGAGATGGATGCCTGGTTCTGCTGGAGTCTGGCAAACTGAACGACATGGCAGCCTCTGCGTGTTTTATGAGAAGCAGACAAATGCAGCCAAGTTTTGTCGACAATGCATTCAGACAGCAGCAAATGAGAAACTGTCAGGGCTCAGAGGATCTTTGCCTCTGGAAGTGATCTCGTGGGACTCCAGAGACCAACACTTCATGGCTGGGTCCCTTCATAATGAACTTCAGGTCTCCCAGCCTCTCAAGCTGGAGTTTGCCCTGGGAAGTTCCCAGAATCCCACCTGCTCTCTTTCAAGCAAAATACTATGACAATGTCTTTTCCATATGAAAAGATGAGTCACCAATCATGATGACCGATGTCCATCTGAATAAATTCAATACCATATGCAAACCGCTTCACGGGACTCTCAGTACCATTTACATGTTCCTGAGAAGCATGTGTTTGCTACATGTTCCAGCAGTCTTGTTGCTTTAGACATTTGCCAAGTCATTTATATCACAAGTTAGTGAGACGCTGTGAAAATGGTCGTGGCTAAGGAAAAGAAAAGCCTGCTTTTGTGGTGTCAATGTTTTCCACACTGGTATGTATTCATCGATGTCCTATTTTCTTTGAAACATCAGTGACATGCTGTGGATTCATTTTTAGGTTGTGATCTACCCTTAACTCGCAGCTTCACAGATACAAAGGGGAATTATGGAGGTTGTCCAGTCCTGGAATGGCAAATAAATTCTATCCCTAGAAATATCTCAAAATAATCAATTGATAGTAGGTTACAGAAGCACTGCATTGGGGAAGATACTCAAGCCAAACCCAAGGTGATTAGCAATATCCACCATGAGCATGGTGACAGAGTAGGGTAGCACTCAGGCCACATATCTGCCACCCAAAACTGTTTAACCCTTCTAGTCTGCAGATAAAGAAGCGATACGATGTTCTCAAGATCACGCGGACAGCACTGGCAGGAGGCAGCACTCACATTGCCAGTCCTACTGTCTCTGCTTTTCAGCTGTGAAACCCACACTCACTCCACCACTGCACAAAATGAGCAGATCAGGCAGGGCTACGGGGAGTGCAGCAGACGGAGAAAGGCGATGAGAATCATGGGCTTTGAAAAATTGAGGAAGACCAGGCCAGCAGGTAGGAGAAATACAAAGCACAGAGAGCTGAGGCACACCATTATTACTGTCATTATTTTGCTGGAGTCCTGGCTGCATATCCTACCTTCCTTTACTCAAGAAGACACAGTCTCTGAACTCCTGATGAAAGAGTATGTGAGTCAGCTGTAGCAAAAAGTCTTTGAATGACACAATCAGGAAGCCTGAATAGCAGTTTGTGACACTCATAAAATGTGTGTACACGTGTGGGGACAGAATGCCTGTGCATCTGGAGAGAAATGCGCCTGGGGCCTGGCACAGGAGCTGCACCGTGCACCATGGCTGTCCTGCCGTGTGACGCCAGTGGGCCACTGTGGCTCTCGCCTGCCCAACATCCATCCCCTTTCCTCTAAAGACAGCACTTTAATTTACTCTGAGCAACTACCCTTCTTTCATTTTCAGTCCATATGGTTTTAGGTGGGTGGGGCTGATTTTGCCTGTCTTTAAGAAAAGGCATGTGACCCAGCCTTGGCCAATCAGAGCCTCACAACCCAATGGACACAATGATGTTCAGTTCAGGGACAGGCACATGGCCCAAGGAGAGCCCATGGGATTCAATTTCAAGTTTTTGTTGGCATTATCAGAAAGAGCTACTCTTTAGGACAACTTCAGATTAGGGAGTGATGTGACGATCTCAGAGTGAAGCCAACAAATGGAAAACAGAACTGCAAGATGTACAGGGATCAAAGCGATGTCATCACTTGGGTGCCAGGACAGAGCCATGCCTAAAGGCAGAACTATCCCTGAAATGTATTAATTACATGAGTCAGGAAACACCTATCATCCCTCCCCAACTTTTTTTTGAGTTGAATTTTGTCATTCCAAACAACAATAATAACAAAAAGAATCTTAGTCAATATAATACCTTAAAACTCATTTTCCACATAAGACAGATGGAACCTAATGTTCCTCCTTGGACCCAACTTATTTTAAGCAGCCGTGTTACCTGCAAGGAGCCCTGGATGTCTTTGCCCCCGACAATCACGAGCTCTGCCATGTCTTCTGCATGGGGAGTCCGCGCGTGGATGAACAGAGTCCTGCCCACTGCGGTTATGTTTCTCAGGGCAACTAAGCCACCATCACTGTTCACCTTGAAGTATGGGTTTGAGACCTCATAGCGTAGCTTGTTATTCCCCTTACAGTCGCTGAAGGTCACTGGGAAAACAAAACAAGAGAAGTAGCGTGAGTATGTTGGACAGCTTAGACCTTGAGACGTCTCTGACCTGTTCAATGTGGAGGATCACCTCGCCACCCCCCAACCCTGAGTCTATAAATGTTGTCCTTAATCCCACAGCAAGCCTCTTGTACCCAAGCGACTTTGATTGTGCTGATGGATTTCACTCCATTAAGACCCCTCGTTGATCACTCACATGTTCTAGGCAGGTGCTGTGCACTGAGGATGCAAACATGAGCAGGACAGGGTCCTGCCCTTGAGTCAGCGGGTGGAGGGGACAGTCAGAGATAGCAGAGTGACACCCGAGGGAAGTGGTCTGATCCTGGTATGTACGAGGTGCTGGGGCAGAACCACAGAGTGCTCAGGAGCACTGAGCACAGCTGCACAGAGACAATATTTGAGCTGGGTCTTAAAGAGGATCAGGAGAAGCCCCTTAAGAGGGTGGAGGACAGTCTAAGTAATTCAAAGGCAGAAAGTGAGGGGCTTAAATAACAAAACAGATGCAGGGAAAGAGAACTAGTTTGATGTGCTTGGAATCAGAGGCAAATTTGAAATGGGGTGGTGTTATCTGGGGATGCAGAAGGAAAGGCTAGAAATGAAGCTAGAAATATCTTTTGGAGATACAGCCAGTACATGTGGGTGCTTCCTGGTGGCTTTGGACTATTTTTAGTGGGCAGAGGGTGACGATCAGGTGTGTGCTGTGGGGCCAGTGGAGGGCAGTGCTTCCCAAGGTTGGGGTACACCAGGATCACATGGAGAGCTTTTTAAAAATCCAGAGGATCTGATCCAAATAACATAATTTAGTAGATCTGGGTTATGGAGAATGGTTTAAAGAATGGCAAAGAGAGAGGCCAAGAAAACCAGTTACAACCAGTTCAGCGTTGTCCCAAAGATGCCTCGCTGAGACAAAAGCGCTGGCAGTGGTGATGTGGGGAGTGGACAGATGTGAGCCAAGCTCCTACCATTGATAGCTTGCTTAGTCACGTGTGGGAAGGGACAGGGGAAATCCAGCCCCTTGGGTGAACCACGCAGAGTGTGGGGCACTGACATACGCAGTGGCTATGACGGCCAATCATGTCCCCCTCTCCAGTGCTTCTGCACCTGGGGCACAATTTTATTATGGCTGGAATGACACCCCATCGTCTGTGCATGTGTTTGTCTGTCTGCCTTCTGCAGTAGACTTTGAGGCCTCTTGTGGGTCAGCATGGAATTGTACTACTTGCTTTTAGCTGTCTGCTGAATAGCCTTGTTTGTTTAGTAAACCTTTAGTTGAAGCCTAACATAGATACAGAAAAGTGCAGGAATCAGAATGTATAACTCAATGACCTTTCACAAAGTGGACACACCCAAGTGCCCAGCATGCACACCACAACACAAAATATTACCAGACCCCTCCCTTACTGAGTAAAATTCCTCCCTCCTCCTCAGAGGCTACACTACCTTACTTCTAATACCACATATGTTTTTCACCAGCATTTGCTTTCATATAAATGGATCACGCAGCATGTGTTCTTTCATGTTTGGCTTCTTCCATTAACATTACATGTTGTAAGATTCACTGTATGGCTGCAAGTCCTGGTAGTTTTCCCTAATCATTACATAGTAATTGCTAATCACTATAAAGTATCTGAACCACTATATTCATTCTAATCACTACATAGTAATCCATTATGTGGCTACACTGAGTTTATTTATTATATCCATCCTACTTGTCAATGGCACTTGGCCTATTTCCAGTTTGGGGCTCTTAAAATATTGCTACTAGGAACTTTCTTGTATGTATCGTTTAATGACAGCATCTATGTATGTCCTAGGACACTGTCAAAACTATATAAATATCTGATGAACTAAGCTGACCTTTCTACTCTGGGACAATAATGCTTGTAGTGATAATAATCATATTAGCTGATAATGAAAAAATAATCATAGTAGCTGATAATAATTGTGGCTAATGCAAATTAAGCACTTTCCACATGCAAGGCTCCGTGCTAAGCATTTTATACACATTGTCTTATTTAATCTTACAATGACAACAAATGGGAGTTCTGTTTTGATCCCTTCTGTCCCCAGTTTCTAGGTAAGGAAACTGAGGCTTGGAGAGGGCAAAGGTTGTAAATGATGGGCCAGGATTTGAACCCTGGTGCATTTGCCTGTCACCGGTACACATTCTCAATAAAGACGACACCCCATGGAGAATACAGCCTTCCTGAAATCCTGAAAAAACCCGAATGCAGTAGTCCCCCTTATCCATGGTTTTGCCTTCAGCGGTTTCAGTTAACCACAGTCAACCGAGATTCAAATATATTAAATGGAAAATCTCAGAAAGAAAAAATTCATAAGTTTAAACTTTGTTTTTGATACCACTTACCAACCTGGGAGCAGAAGATTTAGACCACAGTTCTTTCTCAAGGCTAGCTATCTATGAAATCACCAGGGGAGCATTAAAAAGAATACTAAAATCTGCCTCTACGGCCTCCGGAGATTATGATATAATTGGGCTGAGTTGGAGTCTGTGCACTACTATCTCTTAACAGCTCCTCAAATGAATCTCATACAGAGACAAGAACCAGGGCCTTAGATAATAAATTGCTTGTTGAGATGCCAGGTTCCCACATTTCCCAGTCATTATTGGAACAGAGAGGAGGCCAGGCACCTAGCATTCTAGGAATTGCTATTCCCATGGCCTTAAGAAAGGGAAGTTTTTATGGTTACTTTTTAAGCCCATTTCTAATGTTGGCTCATGTGTAGGAACCCTGTGACCTTGGGCAAACCACCTATGTTTTTTATTCCTAAATGTCTTCATCTGTAAAGTGGGTTAACAATAATATCTCCCTCATGGGTACTATAATCTTTATGGCATGTGTAAAGAAGAAAATACATACCTATACACATAACGCACTTAGGGCAGAGCTTGGTGCTCCATGAATGAGAATTTTCACTGTTATTCCCATAATTCTGGGCACTAAGGAAGCTACCTTTTCCTTTCCCTACACAGCTTGCCTCTTTCTGTTGGTTTTCTACCTGTTTCTATGTTCTTCCATTTCTAGTCAGGTACCCTGCAGGCTCCATGCTGTTGCCATGGAGATGCTTACCATAGGCATGTGCTAGTGCTAAAGGGATGAGGCTGAAGATTCTGATCCAGCCTTGCCCATCTTTTAAACCCCTCACTTTTCTTGGTGAGGCCTATCTACCTCACTTGAGCAAATTGTGAAGGAAAAACGACATTCAAAGAGTGAAATTACAGTGCCCTGCCCATAGTGGACTCGACGAAGATTTGTTGAATATCCTCCAAACGGATTGTTTGTAAAGATGACTTCATACAAATCTAAGGTATGAATTTTCCTAAAATAATGCCACTACACGGTGAGATTTATATTCAATGAATATAAATATTCAATGAAATAAATATTCAATGATTGCAATGAATACTCATATTATCACCTTGACATCATAAGTATGAGGGAAGTACTTCTGTTCTCTCTGGAAACCAAGGCTTAGTGAGGTCAAATGATTTATCTGAGGCCACACTGCTGGTATGTGTACCCAGGTAAAATCCAAACCCAGGCTGTCCAATGATAGAACCCATACTCCTGAGTGCTATGCCAGTCTGCCAGAGTGATGTGTTCCTTCCTTCAGTTTTTCAGCTTCTAGCCCCATAATTTCACCATACCCTCATACCAAATCTATTATTTAATATCTTTCATTAACTGGTTTTTTTAATTATAAAATTACTTAAAGTTAATCTTTATAATACTTGTTGAATATAACAGGTATATTTTTTCTAACATGTATTAAAATAACTCTAAAGAGCCAAATTAAAAAAACAAAAAGTTTGTCCTATATCCATTAAAACCCTCACAGTGATGTGTATTGCACCCTCTGGAAACACTGACCCCACCCCTTGTTTAGACAAATTCATGCCTGGCTCCATCCTACTCAGGTGTATAATCTAAGGGACTCTCTCTGATATCCAAATATCTGCGATGAAATAAAACATCTAATATAATTAATGAAGGCTCGATAAACACACAAATCCTAGACAAGGCACAAAGCTAGACCCCTTATATGGTAGTGCCTTTGGCAATACCTAAATGACAGGTCTGACATATATAAAGAATAGTTACTCAAAAAAGAAAAAAACTAACCACATTCTATTTGTTCTTCTTTCTCTAGAAGACAACAGACTCTGCTTTATCACTAGTTATAATCTCTCATAAATTTCTTATGAAAGGGTGAAACATACATCAGCCTTGCATCATCGTCTCATATTATTAACTTTCTTGATACCACCAACTTCAGTGATTCCCAAACTTTTAAACAGAGATCAAGACAATGTGCATTTCAAGGCACGAAGTTCAAAGAACATATTTAAGGATTAAATTGAATAGTTTATATTTATTTTTAAAAAGTTTGTTTCTATAGAGACAACCTCCAAAGTAGCTTGAAATGACACCATGTGGATAATTGAAAGGAAAGATTCTAATAAACACTGCAACTTGTGAACAAATATTCAAAATCTCTACCTGAGGGGGAAAATGAACCGTACTATTCTGAACCTACAAAGACTTCCCTACATTGTTTATCATAGTGGCATTTAAAATAGCTTCTGGACAGAAAAAAATTATACATATAATATACTGCACATGGGGATTTATTGGAGTCAATTGCATAACATCATTCTTTGAGATAATCATTGAACACCCCAGGAGAAGAGGGGGGAAATGAAAACTCCCCACCTGGGGGAAAATGCAAATTAGACAAAGGCACCACTCAGAGTTTCAATTATGCTTTCAGCATGTTTCCACTCAAAATGTCCTCTGGGCTTAATGCAAATGTCACAAAAGACAAACTTTAGCTGGGAGACAAAACCACAATTGAAATGGGAAGTTTGACATGTGAATTAAGGGGCTTAATCTTCCTGACCTCGATTTTATGCTTTTCTATTTCTTTCTTTTGAATGTGGTTCTTAGGGATGAAAATC